GATGGCCATTTGTCTTGGCATCAATCTTCCCGAGTCTAGGAGGTTCTCAGTGCAGGGACCCTGGGTCCAAAGGACATGCTCCACTCCTGATTCTTCTTTCTTGGTGGTAATGAGGTCCCTCTCTCTCTGCTTGCTTCTGTCTCCTTTTATCTATTATAAAAGATGATGCAGGCCACATCCCAGGGAAACTCCTCTTATATGATCAGGGCTGTGACCTGAATAAGGGTGTTGCATCCCACCCTAATCCTCATTGACATGACCAAATCTACCTGGCACACAGAAGGAGTTTTATAAAAGGTATCAATGATTTAATGTTAACTAGCACAAATTACTGCAATATGTCGCTATAAAATTACTGTGTAAATATCTAATTAAAAAATACAAACTGTTCACCAGTATCCACAATGATAGAGCCGACTGACAGGGCATTTGCTGTGAAGGGCCTCCTGCCACATGCCAGGTACTGTGTGATGGCCTTTCTAGGTATTATCTCAATCCATCCACTCCACAGTCCTGCATAGTGTTTTTTGTCAACCAGCCTTTAAAAATGAGGTGTGTTAGGCTCCAAGAGCTAAAGTAAATTCTCCAAAGTCACAAAACAGGGTCAAGATTGAACCCAGGATTCTCTGACTTTAGAGACAAAACTGACACATATGGGTTATTTCTGGAAAAAAAATTATACAAATAGATAAATAATTGGGAGAGGAACAGACTTTGTGCGGTGAGGGAAGGCTGTGTCCCAGGAGTTGCCCGTCAACCAGCTCCCAGATGCCCAGTCAACTCTGGGCCCGAGGAAACGGACTCTAGGATGCAGTCTGTGGCGTCTGCCATAAGCCCAGAGTCGTTACTTGTGTCTAAGGCTGAGAAGACAGCAGCTCAGCTAGGCCGTGGCTTTCACTCTCACCCTCTGCTCTGACGGCAGCGCAGGCTCAGGCTCGCCAAGGGGGCCAACTTCCAATTATCTCTATTTTTCCCTCCCTTCACCAGAAACTCTGAGGTACAGAGAATCTAGCAACAAGGAGCCTTCTCAGTCCCATGCCTGATTTCCTCTAGGCCTGCAAGGTCCTCTGGAGACTCCCTGGGAAAGGGCATTTAAGGCTCTTGAATGCTCATTTTGATAATTCTATCAGACACCATTTCCTTTTCTGGATTTGGTTCCTTTGTCCACCACTCACAGTTCTCCTAGGCGCACAGTTGCTGTGATTTCTTTCTGAGTTCTTCACAAGCTGGTAAAGTCATCTCATCTCTTCTATGACTTACCTAATAAATCCCCACCCCAAAACGGTAGGCCTTTTGTTTTAGTATTTCTACCTTCTAGACTTAAACAAAGGATTTGTTTTTGACCAAATAAAGACTTTGAGAGTTTTTGCTGCTGTTTGGCACTGTTAGGCCTGCCCCTCACTAGAAAGCAAAATATAAGTTTTTCTCAGGACTTTTGCTTGGTCTCTCCCCATCCCTCTTGTATGCCCTGAATCTCTCCATCTAGAGCTGTGTTCACTGCCTGTCCTGGTCACCACTTAGCCACAGGGCCAAGCACAGCACCTGGTGCAGACAGGCTGACATCCACAGGAAGTGCTGAACAATGGTGATATGCTTCCCTCCTAGAATTCTCCTTTCTTTCCCTTTCTCCTGGAGACCAATTGTTTTTTGCTTTTTTAAAATTTTATTGTGGTAGATTATATACAACATAAAATTTGCCATTTTTATCATTTTAAAATGTACAACTCAGCGACGTCAATTTCATTGACAATGTTGTGCAACCATCATCACCAACTATTTCCAAAACTTTTCCATCACCCCAAGCAGAAACTCCTGTGAACCGTTGCTGTTGGGTCGATTCTGACTCATAGCGACCTTATAGGACAGAGTAGAACGGCCCCTAAGGGTTTCCAAGGAGCGGCTGGTGGAGTCAAACTGCCAACCTTTTGGTTAGCAGCCAAGCTCTTAAACACTGTGCCATCAGGGCTCCAAGAGAAACTCAGTACCCCTTAAACAATAACTCCCTATTCCTCCCTTCCCCCAGCCTGTAGTAACCTCTAACCTACTTTGGTCTCTATGCATTTGCCTATTCTAGATATTTCATATAAGTGGGATCACATGATATTTGTGCTTTTGTATCTGATTTATTTCATTTAGCATGTTTTCAAGGTTCATCCCTGTTGTATCATGTATCAAAACTTCATTTCTCTTTAGTCACAGTACCAGTCAGTTCTGACACATAGCAATCCCATGTGTGTCAAAGGAGAACTATGCTCCATAGGGTTTCAATGGCTGATTTTTCAGAAGTAGATCACCAGGCCTTCCTTCTGAGGTACGTCTGGGTGGACTCGAATTCCAACCTTTTGATTAGCAGCCTACTGTGCAAACTGTTTGCACCAAGCAGGGACTGCTGATTTCTCATTAAGGCTGAAAAATACTCCATTTCATGTATATGCCACATTTTGGTTCTCCATTCATCTGTTGATGGAGACTTGGGTTATTTCCACCTTTAGGCCATTGTGAATGATGCTACAATGAACATTGGTGTTCAAGCATCTGTTTGAGTCTCTGCCTTCAAATCTTTTGGGTATAAACCTAGGAGCGGAATTGCTGGGTCATATGGTAATTTCCTGTTTAACATTTTGAGGAACTGCCGTCTGGAGACTTCTTGCTCTACAGGCTTGTCCATTACTTCCTCTGGGAAGTCTTCCTTTTTAGTTTATCTTACCCTAGCCTCCCACTAACCTTGATGGTGCAGTGGTTAAGCATTCGGCTGCTAACCAAAAAGTTGGCAGCTCGAATCCACCAGCCACTCCTTGGAAACCCTATGGGGTGGCTCTACTCTGTCCTACAGGGTCACCAGGGGTCAGAATCAACTTGACAGCAAGGGTTTTTTTGTTTTTTTTCTTTTGGTTTTTAGCCTCCCACTAAGCATGTTGTGAGTGCTTTGCATGTGTGTTTCCCAGCTAGTCTATGAACTCCTAGAGAGCAGAGATTGTGTCTTAACCATCTTTGCATCCCTGTGCTTACCACGGATCTGGGCATATTATCTGGACTAAATAAATTCTGTAATTACCTTTAAAACGTAGGCAAACCCCTCAAGAGAGAGTGATTCTGCCATAGTGAAAGATGATTTGCTGGAGTTACCAGGTAACTGAGGTAACAGGAGTTAGGAAGCTTTGAGGAGGGGCTGAGGACCCCTGGTCAAGGGCGCTGCATCTCCTAAGTACCTGGCTCTTTCTCTCGCCATTTAGTAGTGTTATGGATTAGACTGTGTCCCCTGAAAATTTACCTTGAAGTCCTATCCCTGGTGCCTGTGAACTTGACCTTGTTTGCAAATAGGGTCTTTGAAGACGCTCTCAGTTACTAGGAGGTCATACCAGTTACTATTAGGTCATACCTAATCCTAGCTGAGTGGTGTCCTTAGAAGAGAGGAGACACAGAGAGACAGACAAGGGAACACGGCCCTGCCAACACCATGAATTCGGACTACAAGCTTGCAGAACAGAGACAATAAATTTCTGTTCTCATAAGCCATCCAACGTGTGGGGTTTTGTTATGGCAGCCCTAGCAAGCTAATACAAGTAGTAAAATACCCTACTGTTGGGGCAGGAAAAGGAAAGAAGCTTGTCAAAAATAATATCAATATTCATAGGTAAATCATTAGCTTATGACCAAGGTCAAAAATCTTAATGTTTTTCAACTGTGTTCTTTCGGCATTAGGCCTGAGTGGCTGGCCTGGGCTCTCTGCTCCTTGCCCCTCAGCTTCTTCAAGCAGCCAAGAAGCAGAGGGGTGCTACTCTCCACTGGGAATCAGGTTCCCCTGGTAAGGACACAACCTGTGGGGGCCTTCCCAGGAAGATACTCAGGCTCTGACAATGCTGGGATCCTTGAGATCAAACCCTAACACAGGTTGGCTTTGGGGATGATGGGGAGCAGGAATACTTCTATTTCCAGAGCCAGCTTCTCTCAGACACAGCTTCTTCAGCACTATACTCATCGTTTCTTCACTTACCTTTCAATACAATTAAACAAACATTTACTGAACCTTTCTCAGGGGCAAGGAACCATGAGATGCTTGGGAGGTTTAAAGTATAAAGGCTGATTCCATAGGGTTCTCTGAGTTACAATCAACTTAATGGCGATGGGTTTGGTCTAAAGAAAAACTAGCAGGATTAAAACATAGTAGGGAGCCTGAGATAAAAATCCTAACCATGCTATATAGATAAAATTGAATTCAATGAACATATGGAACACTTACTATGAGGAGGGGGCTTTGCTATGTGCTGGGGTTCAGAGGCCAGGACATCTGCGGACCTCAAAAAACTTGCTTTCTAAATGAAAGGACCCTCCCAGAGCAAGCCCTAGACACCAAGTAGGATAATTACGTCTTCCTTCCCTTATCACCCCACACGCGGGCCCCCAAAGATCCACAAGGATTAACATAATGAAAGTGGTGGCGCCTGGCCCAGGGGCATGTCCCTAGACCTGTCAGTGCCATTTCTCCAGTCAAAAGGTGGCCGTCCCAGCGGGAGTTCCTGAGTCACATCAGAGATTTCATCAGCAGAGGGGCCCCCAAGCCCTTCCGGGAGAAGAGGCTCTGGCGGGGGGGGGGGTGCTTGGAAGCAGCAGCCCAGATGGAGAAGGCTGGGAGACCCCACATGGAGGGGGCTTGGGAATGTCTGGATGGAGAGTCTGGGCGCGCATGGATGGACAGGGTTCGGGTGCACCTGGATGGAGAATCTAGGGTGCACCTGGGTGAAGAGTGCTGGGAAAGCTTGGATAAAAGGGACTGGGGTGTGCCTCCGTAGAGGGGGATGGGGAGGCCTGGATGGACGGGGCTGCAGTGTGTCCGGATGGAGAGTCTGGGGTACTTTTGGATGGAGAGGCCTGTGGCACTGCTGGATAGAGGGGGCTGAAAGAACCCTAGATTGGAGGGGACTGCGGTACCTGGCGCAGTGCTCCGTGGCCCTGGGTTGAGGGCGAGCGGCCCAAGCCCCACCCTCGGCCCGGCCACCCACCTGGGCACGCCCTGGCGTAGTCGAAACAGCAGTCTCCGGTGAGGAGGCAGGCTTGGTCGCAGAAGCACGTCCCGTAGACCCTGTCCAACCTCCAGCCACGGGCGAAGCAGGCGGGGTCCCTGCCGGGGCAGCAGCGCCCCGCCTCGGCGCAGCCGGCCAGGGTCCCGGGCCACAGCCGCGCCAGCGCGCACAGCGCCAGCCACAGGGTCCTCATGGCGAGCGCTTTCACGGCGCCTGCGACGCGACGGGCCCCGAGGGAAGTGCTCCGCTCCTCGGAGGGCGGGCGGCCCCCGAGCTGCCGGAGAGGCCTGCGAGGCGCAGCCCGGCCCTGCCCCGCACCCAGGCCCCCGCCCTCCGGGCCCGGCCCCTCCCCGGCCAGCCCTGGCGGCGCGCCCGTCGGGGCGTCCGGCGGGTAGGTGCGGCTGCGCCTGCCGAGGTGGGGAGGGTGCCTCTCCCCGGATGCCGCAGCCTTCGCAGGACGCGCCCTGCACCCTTCAGCGCTCCAGGCCCCGGTCCCTTCCCCGCTGCGAGCTCGCCCGAACACCGCCACCCGGCGGGAACCGCCCCGAGAGCAGAAAAAGCAGGTGTACCCGGGTCCCAGCGGCAGAGCCGGGCCAGAGTGGCCACATTTCCTGTCTCCAATTCCTAACGTCTCGTGGCAAGTTAACGAGAAGGTATTTTCACTATAAAACCGAGACGAACAGCGTTTGATGTGTAGCAAAACGAGTATCACCAGCCTAACTCGTGCGGGTCACCCCGAATTCGCCCATGAGACCCACGCTGCATTTTTTCCCACACACCAGCTCGCCAACCCTCAGAGTTCTCGCGGACCAGTGAGGCTCCAGAGGGAGAAGGAGAGAAGACCAAAGAGGCATTCTTTTTATCTGTTGCATTTTATAATGGGGTTTTCCTGCTCCGGGGAAATGCCACTTTGCTTCAGTAAACAGGCAATTAATGAATGCTAAAAAAATAAAAATAAAAAACCTGATTCCGACTCACAGTGACCCTGTAGGACAGAACAGAACTGCCCCATAGGGTTTCCAAGAAGCAGCTGGTGGATTCAAACTGCCGACCTTTTGATGAGCAGCCAAACTCTTAACCACCAGGCCACCAGGAATGCAAAGGAAAAAGGAAAACGGAGCAAAACCTATTACCGTGGAGTCGACAGCACTCAGAGACCCTATAGGACAGGGTAGAACTGCCCCATAGGATTTCCAAGGAGCAGCTGGTGGATTTGAACTGCTGACCTATTGGTTAGCAGCCAAATTGTTAACCACTGCACCACCCGGGCTCCTAAGGCTAATGAAAGGATCAATAAAATATAAATGGTGCTCTTTGCTTTCTCTTAAAGCCAATTTCCCCAAAGAAGCTCTGTTTAATGATATTTTAGAAATAACATCCACTTTAATAAAGTTCATGCCTAAGTTTTCATATACATTTTCTTCCCCTTTTCTCTCCAAATATATTTTCTGCACCTCACTCTTTTTGTTAATCAGAAATTATCCTGGAAATATGATTTTATTTTATGTTTGAAATCATTTAAACTTTTGTGGGTTTTGTGAGAAACTAAGAGTAGAAAGTCTTCTGCGTCTGTGAATCTAAGGAAATAAACAAATTTCAGAGACTAACAGTTTCGTTTCTCATAGAGGAATTTCCTTTACTCTTCAGAGAGAAAAGTAACAAAGTTGTAAAACAAACAAACAAATCACATATTAAAAAAGCTATCAAAAAGTTGTCAAATGAAAAATTTAATACATTATAAGAATTGTGATGAACTCTAATCAGAGATAAAATTTAGCCAGTGTAGAATGTAATCTTACTTCATTGCCCAAGGAAAATTGCTGAAGAATCAAAAGGAAATTCTTTCACTGTGAGTCTAGACAAATACATTCTCAGGGTTAAAAATACTTGTTTCCTCTATTTTACTTTTAAAAAAAATTTTTTTTAGTTGTTGGTAGTTGAAACTAAATCATTTCTGCCAGCAAATCACACCCTCTTCCTTTTACCAGGGTTCCTGGCTGTATTCATGATTTGTACTAACTCATCCAGGTAGTTTCCCCCTCACACCTTCTCTAAGGTTGTCTGCTGTGTGAAATGCCTTTGGGTAGGTACTATTCTGCAACGCCATAAGAATCTGGAATCATTTCAGAAAGATGTAAAGGAAAATGATCTACCGACAAATTTATTTTCAGGAATGAAAACATGAAGTGATACAGAAAAGTGAAAGAAGATGAGCTCTGGAATTCAGAAAATTAAAAATGTAATGCATATTATTTTACTCCAAATGCCTGCTCAAACACAATTCTTTTCACTCCCCTTTTCCTTATACTCCGACAAAACCAATACCCAAAGTCAAAAACAAAACGCCTGGGGTCTGTGCTCGGCAGGCTTGGGGTTTGGAACTAGACAGAACTGTGTTCCAGTTCTGACTCTGTGATCTCTGTTTATCACTTACTGTCTCAAGTCAGGGCTCGGTGTGCTTATCTGAAACCAGAGAATACTAAGCCTTTTAGGATTGCTATGAGATCCCTGCTGAAATGCGGTGATGTGTGTAAACCGAGTACAAACGGAAACGAACTGAACCCATTGCTCTCGAGTAGATTCCGACTCATAGTGACCCTATAAGGTAGAGTAGAACTGCCCCATATGGTTTCCAAGGAGTGGCTGGTGGATTCGAACTGCCAACCTTTTGGTTAGCAGCCGAGCTCTTAACCACTATGCCACCAGGGCTCCAAATTGAGCACGAAGTGGTGCTAAATGCATATTAGCGTCCTAATGTCCACCCCACTCACAGGCCATATTTTAAGCCGAAAACCAAGAGAAAGGAAAAACACGCTGTTTTAAATAGTGTGAAGTCTCTGTGTGGCACAAACGGTTAAGTGCTCTGCTACTAACCAAAAGGTTGGCGTTCGAACCCACCCGTAAGTACCTTGGAAGAAAGGCCTGGCAATCTGCTTCTGAAAGGTCACGGCCTTGAAAACCCTGTGAAGTGCCGTTTTACTCTGCAGCACATGGGGTTATCATGAGCTGGAATTGACTGGAGAGCAACGGTTTTTTGGTTTTTTTTTTTCTTTTAATTGTGTGCACAGAGCTTAAGAAACAAACCCGCCAATAAATGATTACTACTTGAACAGCAAACATAAAAGGGACTTGTCTCTGGTAAGTAACACTAAAAGAAACTCATAAACTCAAGTTGAAGCTTGTACCGTCTTGAAAACATCAAGATAAGCCTCCCCTCGCCCAGGAAGCAGTTTCTGCAGGAACAGGCAAACTCAGGAGGACAACTGACATTTACAGCAATGGAGTTCATGTCCTCACTGAAAACTGGGCGCAGCCAGATGGAACAATTAGTTGCTTTGTTTTCCATGCTTTGTAGATGTTTGGAGAATAGAAAGCACCCCAGTGATCACGTGGGCGGATATAGGAAGTAATTAAATGTACCTTTAAAAGACCCCCTTTCTTCTAAACCATTGTCTTTGGAAGCTGTCCAAGACTGATGAATTGACGGAGGGGCACAGAGGCCTACCTGTTTGCCAGATTCCAGAATGCAGTACTTTTTAAAGGACATCAGCATATATGATCTCATTCAACCTTGCACAACTGTGAGGAAAATATTCGTACTCCCATTTTAGAGATGACAGAAGATTAGACATATAGCTAATGAGTGACAGAACAGGCTAGGACTAAAATTAGGTTTTCCAAAACACTGCAAAATTCTTCCCGTCACTTAAAGCTTGAGGGAGAGGGGAAAAGGTAATGGGAAGAAGAGGTAAGACAAATAAGATTAGGAACTGCACCAGACGTTACAACTAGGACATGTGGAAATTAAAATACTAATTATTTCCAGAAAAGTTTAGATACGCTTAAAATGGAAGACATCGTTGCTGTTGATTGATTCCAACTCATGGCAACCCCACGGGTTACATTGTAGATTTGCTCCATAGGGTTTTCTTGGCTGCAATCTTTGTAGAAGCAAATCGGCCAGACTTTTCTCCCTTGGTGCCGCTAGGTGGGTTCAAAGCACCAACCTTTAGATTAGTAGCCAAGTACAAACCTTTTGCAACACCCGGGTACTGGGAAGATGCATAAGGAGTTATTAAAGACATCCAGGGATATAAAGGGAATCTTTTCAGATGGACAGACAGGACAGTGGATCCTTATGTAGTTTTTTTGATATTTACAGAATGCTACATGGACATTGCTCACATCATATTTTATTGAATATTAGACACCTCCTTTGATTGTAAGATGTAGCATTAATCTTTGTACTACTAAGACAGAAAAAAAATCCACTGCCAGTTAAACTATGATGCATACTGTTATGGATTGAATTGTGTCTCCCCAAAAGAAATGTCGAAGTCCTAACCCCTGTACCTATGAATACGACTTGTTTGGAAAGAAGGTTTCTCTTCCCTTATGTTAATGAGAAGATACAGCAGTAGGTGCGTCGTAAACCTAATGTCTTCTGAGTGACGTCTTACGTAAAGAGCAGAATAGACAGAGAGAGATATACACAGGGGAAGAGACTACAGTCGGAGCGAATTTCTCTATAAGCCGAGGAAGGCCAGGAAATGCCTGGGGCTTCCAGAAGCTGAAAGAGACAAGGAAGCATCCTCTCCTAGAGTGGACAGAGCAGAGCGCTGACAACGCCCTGAATTTGGACTGCTAGTCTCCCAAATTCTGAGACAATAAATTCCTGTTGTTTGAAGCCGCCATTGTGGTATTTTTGTTACGGCAGCACTGCGTAACTAAGACATACACTCATATGTGGATTGTAGGATGCATCCCAGAGGGGTTAAAATATGGGGAAATGTGCATCTTAGAATCAATGAAATATCAAAAAAAAAAAAAACTTTCATTGCTTTACCTTTCATAATACACTTTGCAGATAATCCTACAAGGCAGATCTTGTTAGTACTCCCATTTTGTTGGGGAGGTTCAGAGGGAGTCAATGACCTGTCCAGTGTCCCATGGGTTCAAGCCCAGACCCTTTCTTCAGAGCCACCTCTGTGCATTTGGCTGCAGTAATGCACTTTCTGTGAATGAGAAGTCCCTCCAGGCTGAGGCTCAAAGATGGGTAAAAATGGTTCTTCCCTAAGGATACGGAAGTCTAATGGATGAGCTAGACATGTGAACAGTCATCACACCATGCTGTGATCAGTGCTATTAAAAAAGGGGTGCTGGGAGATATCTGAAGGGGCCCTGGTGGCCCAGTGGTCAAAGCATTCCACGGGGATTTGAAACCACCAGCAGATCCGAGGGAGAAAGAGGTGGCCGTCTGCTTCCATAAACATTTACAGCCTTGCAAACCCTGTGGGTCTCTCTGAGTCAGAATCGACTCCATCGCAGTGGGTTTGGTTTTGTTTCGGGGGGAGATCTGAGATACTGAGGTTGGAGCCAGGCAGACAAGAAGAGGGACT